TTACACAGCTTACATTTCACATATGGCCTGCTCTTTATTAACTCTTAATACAGAACATTCATTTGACTTTGAATTGATACATGTTCTACAAACCCAGCTCCATTTTGCAGATGTTAAAGATATTCATTATTACTAAAGATGTGTTCCCTTATTCCATGATACCACATCTGTGTAGAAAATTATGAGTATCTTTCTTCAAAGCACTTACTGATGTACTGGCAAATCGCCTTTCTAAAATGATCAGCCTAAATTTTCTTTGGTTTAGTCATTACGGCACTCATACAGTACAGTACTACATCCTCTTTTCCTTTTTTCATGAGCACTGTTCCACATATGGGAGTCCCCTACAGTCCTACCATGGAAGTTGTGTGACTGTCACATTGCAGAGGGGCAGCATCAGTCCTCAAAACCTACTGAAGAGTTTTCACCCAATTCTGGCAAAGTTTTGTTCCGTGACGCTGATCTTTTCTCTGCCCCAATTTATGGCATTGGATACTGAGCTCTTTCCTTCAAAGCAGGTCATTTAAGGCGCAACAGGATGATTGTCTGAGAGCTGTATCTGGGTTCTCTGACCTTACTCTGATACCATCTGTTGTGTATTCAAAAAGACCTGAATGCATTGAACTGTATGAAACTGATGTATGTAAAAAATCTCATTGAAGTACAATGTAAAGCTTCGGCCTGGGCTAGGATCCTAATGTAACCAATAGGAGCACTAGCCCAGGATGTGTCATCCAATCACCTTACAGAGCGGGAGCACTTGTGATTGGTCATTATCTGTTCAACCTGATAGGTTGTTATTTGTACAGTGGGAGTGGCTACATTAGCTGGGAATGTTTAAATACAGAACAGCTCCTATGCAAAAGCTGTTCTGGCTGACTGATGTTGTACCGTGTTGGAGAAGTATTCGAGCTGAAGAATAAAAGCCGCATTCTTGCTGAAATCACTCTCCGACTATTTGTTAAGCTCACGACTTAACACCATCAGCCACATACCACACTGCTGGGAATTCAGTTTCCAATTATGCAGAGGCCCACATTCAGATTGTGGCTATGGTGTGGAAGGGGCTTCCACCTTCCACCACACCATTTTCCAAGCCTGAAATGGGCCTGGGGGAACACATGGGCTGTGAATACTTGGGAACTGAGTTCTCAGGAGCATGATGTGCAGCTTGTTGTATGAGACTCAAATCCCCAGACCAGACTAAAAAAAAAAAAAAATCATCTTGTCTAGTTCAGCTTTCAGAGTTGTTGAAACGATCACCAGACACACTGACGACCCCAATTCCATGCTATGTTTTATTCTTGCTTGCTTTCTGGCATAATCTTGAATGTTCTTCTAATTATACTGATGTTATTAGCTTTATATACACACTGCTTTTATTTAAGCTACTGGAGTGCCCAGTGCTGCTTTTTTTTTTAATTATTAAAAACCAACCCGAAACGCTTCATTCAATATCCCCACTGAACAATGGATCTAAAGTAGATACAGAGGCATCGGACGTTTAAAACATGAGTAATTCCATTAAAATAGTGTTCGTGACTTTGTTATACAGCTACATAACTTTGTAAAGCAAAGAAAATTATTACCATCAATTATAAGAACATCCTTTGACAAGGCTGCAATTAATCTACTATTTTCTTTACATACCCGTTGTTCCGTGATGCCAATGAGAATGCTGGGCATTAATTGACTCGTCATCACTTAGTGATAGATGGTCCAGACTGTAAAGTGGTTATTAATCTTCAGCAAAATAAACTGATTTGTTACCAGAATGTTTTGGTGTTTCAGGAAAAAAAAAAAAGATAAGGTATTCAGGGGGCCTTCTGTATATGTCTGCAATCAGGGGATGCTTCTCATACCCTTTAATATGTATGTTCATATACTTGGAAGTCACACTGGCGTCCATATATCCAGAAAAGCAAATCTCTCTTGGAGAAGAGAGTTGTGTTAGGAAGCCTTCTGTGTGGACTTGTTTCCGTCACTGAAATGTCAGCATAGGAACAATCCACTACAAAGATCTCTTAACATGACATTGATAGAATCTCAAACTAGAAACCTTCCAAGCACCCTTACTGATCCATGATGTGGGAAAGCAACTTTATAAGGGCAGAAAAATAGGCTATGCTCACTCACCTAGATTCTTAAGTTTGACTCTATGTGCAGATTCCCACCAGCCCTGGTGACCCTACCCTAATTGTCTCTAAGACCTTCGGCGCCACTGTGAAACAGGTAGCTATATCCTATCCATGTTTCTGCTTTGTTATTACGGAATCCTCCTGCCTTCATGACCTAACCTTGCTGGGTTCCCTTTCTTTAGAGAGGCCTATCTGCCTCCTCCTCAGAATCCCCCCCCCCCGATCCTGCACCCTGATCTTATCTTCTGAGCAGAATCTCCAGTGTTGGCCTGATTGATCTTGTGACTGGTCTTGCCTAACGGCCTTCAATTTCTGATGATTTCTTTGGTGACACCCGTCTGCCATCTCTTGCTGCTGGTCACACTGGAACTCACTGCAGTTCCAATCTAACACCTAGTCCTCAGAAGACTCCCCAGACAGTAAAGTCCAGTGCAATGTATAGAATATACTTACAAGCAGGGCTTCTTTTTTCCCCCTCGAAAAAGAGTGCTGGAATTCTCAAGAGGGAAATTAAGTTTTCAATGTGTATACTGAAAACTCATGAACTTTTAAGCGTTTTTAAAAGCATTTTGTTGAAGAGGTTCTGGAACTCCATTCCGGCATGTTCCTCCAGAAAAAAGCCCTGCTTACGTGTACTATTCATATCATTGGGGCTTATGCAAGAGATATTTCTAGTGGTTTCATTCCTGGCTCTTTTGTGTATGGACCTCCCCCACCAAATCTCTACAGAAACAACTAAATGTGTATAGCCTACAGAGAATATTTACTTTATTTCTAGTGGTCTAGAGATAAACCACTGAAGTAAGAAAAACAACCAGTCCACCATAATGTTCCCAATTTTTACTTAGATTATAAATAATCTGTCTTTACATTCCTCTTGCCCCTCTACCTTGATGGTTCTCCTTGAAGGAATCCTTTCATGTTAACTTGTCCACTGAGGAACCATGTGTTACGAGCCGAAAAGGATTCTTGGTTCTTCCTAGAATGTATGCTCAGGACACAAATTAAAGGCCACGAGAAGACACTAGTAGTTGTGTGCATGGAGCTCTCAATATTTTGTATTTTTGAATTAGTAAGCATATGGAACTTTCATTCAAATTGGGAAATGTAGTGCAGCTCTGTGTGTGTGTGTGTGTGTGTATTCCAAGGCTTCTCCTTGCACTGTCTTCCTAAATCAAAGGGCCTCCCATAGGATCACCTTGTATCAGGTTCTGTATGTCTGTCTAAGGGGGGAAACCGCAACCAGGCATAGGAGATGGGAAAGACATAATCTCCCCCCCCCAATAAAAATTGGGATCTTGTAGCTACTTAAAAGAAAAGTCAAGCTGGGAGCTCCATAAATAGACTTCCCATCTAGGGATGCTCAGAAACCTTCCAGTTCATCTCATATTTTGTTTGCCAGTGGCAGTCAAGCAGCCAATTAATAATGGGAAAGATCATCTGGGAGTCGGCTTCTGATCTCCTGCTGGGGAAATTGCAACGGACTTGCAGATGATTGCATGAAACAGCTTAAAGTCATGTTCTTCTGATTTTCAATCCTCAGAACTTTGCTGCATCACAAATAGGCCCAGCTTACTCACCTTTTCTTCTCCTTACCCAAGCTTTTTGCCTGGGGTACAGAGAAAATGAGAGAAGTAACCTCTCTCTCTTCTCTATATGCAATACAGAAACATTGCTTTTCCCCCTGCCCCCCCCCCCCAACTTAGCTTGGAGCAGAGGGAAGAGAAATAACCTCTTTCTCTTCTCCATTTAGAAACGGGGAAGTCAGAAACATTTCTCTCCCTGCGCAGCCTGAAGAGGAGAGAAGAGGAGTGGTCTGTTTCTCCTCCCCTTTTGCAATAGGACATCAGAAGCCAATTGATTCTGATCTCTAGCCTCACTGTGTAGTGATTTTTCACAGGGGGTGATGGATCAGAAACCCATTCCCAGCTGATCCCCTATCAGCTATAAGCCAGCCTCTGATACCCCCCTGGAGCTTTCCTGTGTGCTAGGCACAACAAGGCTAGGATACAGGGATGTGCTCAGAGATCAGGACCTATCTGATCCCTGATCAGCTGTGAGTCAGCTTCTGACCAACAGGCAGCTGCAAACTTGTTTAGCAGCTGTTCGAGTTAGTCGATGCAAGCTGAACATATCCTTAATCAGCTTGTGATCTGATCATGAGTATTGAACAGGCTTTGTTTGTCAACTTATTTACTGGTCTCCTCCAGTTTGTTTATGTAAAGTAACTAGGCTCCCTGGATGTTTGATTGTGAGGCCTGACATTCCCCTGTACCTATGGACTGCAGGGAAAGTGATGGTCAAACTGTTTGTTAGGGAAGCTTGTCTTTGCATTGAGAAACCTGTGAGTGCCAAGGAGCTCCAGGGTTCCCTTGGAGGGCTTGGAAACTGCTGCTCCAGCTGTTTGTTTCCCTTGGCTATTTCTTTCCAGTTCTACTGCCAGCTGATGATGAACACTGAACAACTCAAATGTCCCCCACCACCAATTTTTTTGCACAAAGTAAACATCAACATTAAATATGTTTGCAGTCTGCAGTCTGATCACGTGATACAATCTCCAATCTGTTTGTACTTCTACTGCACCATCATCATAATCATTACATTGTTAAATTTGGGGGGAAATATGGTTGCTTTGCTACTGAGAGGCAACAGAACCCCGCCTCCCAGTATTTGCAGATTTCAACACTTGCAGTGATCCTGGGAAATGATCCCCTGTAAATGGCAAGTGTCTATTGTAGCTCATGTTTGTGTTTTGTAAAATGCTGAATTCCAAGCCCTTATTGTGGCTACAAGCAAAAACACCCCCCCCCATGCCAGCCTCATTTTGCTGCTTTTTTCAGAGCTCTAAATATACTGACATACCTCCCCAGAGAAAGCTTGTCCATTCAGTAGGTGTTCTGACCCTTGGCTGTCTTCACTTCCAAAGTGTAATCGGATCTCCTCCAAGCGGTGACTGTATGTCATGGGCCCTCCAGAGATGTTGACCAAATGCTCTTTGTCCAGTCGTAGAGAAACGTGCCTCCCTGTATTGTACATTGTTCCACTGACCTAAACAAAGCAAAATAAATAATATGAAGGTAGAAAGCCTTGACTCATTTCAGTTTTTTTCTTTCAAATATTGTCTGGTTGATCTAGAAGCAATTAAAAAGAAAATAAAAGCTTTGATCATTTTTGTGCTTTGATCATTTCACTGCATATTGAATTATTTTAATAAGTATCCATATTTCATGTTATACACACACACACATATATATACACATACATACACATTTTAGCTGGCAGTGTACAGGGAAACACAATAAATGTGATTAGTTTGCCTCTAAATAAGTAGGAATTTGAAAGTATTCCTTCTACAAGACTTGAATAATAGCTTCATTACAGAATTTCGGGCACACAAACGGCAAATATTTCAACTAAAGGATAAATTATTTACATTATACTTAAACATAGCAGAAACTCAACTCATTTGTTCTCACTGAAAAATTTATAAAAACAATTGGCTAAGAGCAGAACAGATAATCTCTGAAATGGAAGAAATTCCAACATGTCCCTGTACATGTTGGGGGTAAAAATCTGGTTCACCACAGCTTTTCAACACAGGTAGTCTGCACTTAGGGCCATGGTGGCTCAGAGGTTAAGATGCTGATCACGACCTTAGTGCCATGTGATGGAGTGAGCTCCTGTCTCTGGCCCCAGCTCCTGCCAACCTAGCAGTTCGAAAGTAAGAAATTGCAAGTAGATAAATTGGTACTGCTTCGGTGGGAAGGTTACAGTGTTCCATGCACCTTGGCATTTAGTCATGCCAACCACATGACCATGGAAATGCCCCCTAGAGTCGGATTCGACTGGCTTTCGAGCAAAGGAAACCTTTACTAGTCTGCACTTGGCTCCAAGGCACATTGGCCATATAATTGAAAGATCTTTGCTAGTAGACACAATTCTAGTCTTGGATGGTAAACCCTCCATTCAGGGCAAATAGACTGGTTCTCTGGTTTGTCTGCAATATTTTTCTCTGGATCGCACACTGGCTTTTACTGTGAGCATCGAAACATTGGGTACATGGTAGTACATCAGTGCTATATAAGTATCTAGCCAATATCAGCAAGGCAAGGAAGAAACATTTTGGTGAAAAATGATACAGCTGCCTTTACTGAGCTTTTGCTTTTAATAAATTGAGGGTGGAAGACCCGTAACCCCCCCCCCAACAATGTTCACAAGTAGGTCCAGTGCACAAGCACAAAGCACCCAGAAGACTTCCTGCCCAAGTCTGAACTCATGTCCAAGCGTACAATTATGTTACTACTGAAATATTGTGCTCCCAGGCTCAATCCACACATCATTGCACTACAGTAACCCTTTGCAGCAGGATTTGTCTTATTTATATAGTATACTCCACTTACGAATGACTGCTACAAGAATAGTGAGAGCACAATATCCAACAAGGTGGGATGCAGACTTTTGTCCTCTGTAGTTTCCACCTATCATTTCATTGAGGACTGGGAAGGAGACTTGAAAAGCTGTGAAGCAGTAGGTGCATCACAAACTTTGCATGCCACAGAGGCTTCTGTTTCAATCCCAGATCACCCCAGCAGTAAAGCATCTCACTAGCAGTTGTTCCATTTCCTTAGAGAACTGGTGCCAGTCAAGGCAGACAGCATTGTTAGACTGTCTGACTCAATATAAGGCAGGTTCATCGCTTCATATGACCTTCCAGCTAGATTACGTCTGGACACATTTATGCTTCAAGTCAAAGTAATCACGTTTCTCGACATTTTAGGGAAAAAAGGAAGAAAGAAATCACTGGACTGAATAGAAATAATACATTTAAATTATCTTAATTTGTATTAATCAGAGGAAGTCTAGCAATGGTATGCTTTGTTGAGCTTTAATTTAAAAGGAAAAGCCTTTAGAATTACATGTTATATCCTATAATATATCAGCACTGTAATAATTAACTCTGCTGCAGCATCATTTTATCTGTAACACTAATTACTGTGTTTAAAAGGTCTTGTTTTGTTGCTCAGTTTTTTTGCAAGAAAAGTTACAGGGCAGAGATAGGGGCGACCATAAATCGCTTCTCCTTCATTTCTCTGACTTGGGTGTTTCATAGCCTCTTTTAAATTTACAATCAGAATAAGAAAAGTTTCCATTTGTCACATAACATCACAACAAGGGTAGAACCCCCCCAACAAGTTAATGAGCTTAGCATTTTTCTGCTGGCTTATTGCCTTTTATATTAGTAAGCTTGACAAATAAATATTAGATTTCAAGGGGGGTCTGTGATGTGCTTTATTGAATTTAAGTGATGGCATTCTGCATAAGCAACTGCCTGCCCCAAGCTGGATGTGTTGTTTTGAAAAGATAAACAGGAGAAGAAAAATACCGAACTGCTCTGAAAATGGCACCTTTCACTGAACATTCCACCTGATTTTGTGGGCACTTTTGTTACAGATACAAAATCCATTTTCTGACTCTGCTTGATCCAAAACTTTACTACCAGGGCTTTCTCTTTCGATGTAATATGACCCAAGTGGCCTTTTAACACAAATCTAATAACTTTCTATGGAATACAAAGGACTGTCAACCAGGTTCCACAAGAAGACAAGAGTCTGTGCCTTGTTTTAATGAGGAATTTGCAAAAATGCTGCTTTACTTTGTAGCAGTGGGAGAAAGATGTAACCTGGCATGTGCTCTTTGGAGGCTAGAAGGTTATTGCCAGGATCATGTTCCTGACCTTTACTAGTCCTCCTTATTCTCATGACTCAGCCCCACCTATTACTTGCCAATCAGATGCTGCCTACTACAAGAAATCCAGGTAAAATCTTTGCTTTTTCAACAATTTGGCAGCCGGATTAAGTTTCCAGGTTGATCTCTGTTTATCTAGCTCTCCATTCCCTCCTCGCCCTCCATGGAATGTTATCGACTCTGATAAGCTAGAACTGTCTTTGACTGGCTGTTGATCTTGGCCATATGGATTATTCATTGTGGAGAGACAACAGGGGCCACCCATCTCTGACAACATTCTCTCTGCTCCTCTCTTGATTTTGTTTTTTTTTTAATTTAAAATATTTATATCCTACTTTCCTCCCAATCAATAGGACTCAAAGTGGCTAACTATTACTTTTTAATTTTTTAATGAAATGAATACCCCATCATTCTGTCCTCGTAAGGGCCACCAAGGCAGCTAACAAATTAAAAAAAATACGTAATAAAAATCACACCTTAAAAACCATTAAATTGAACAAAAACACATCATTTAACAATTAGAAACAGAGCTACAATACATACAAAAACATAAACACAACAATTGGGCAGGAAGAAGGGATCACTGAGGGAATGCCAAAAGAAACAAAAAAGTCTTCACCTGCTGGTGAAAGATGGCAACAGAAAGGGACAGACAAGTATCCCTGGGGAGAGAGAGAGTCCCAGAATGTTGTCCAGGGCTCTTTTTGTAGAAAAAGCCCAGCAGGAACTCATTAGCATAATAGGCCACACCCAACAGCAGGAACTCATTAGCATATTGGGCCATGCCCCTGACAGCACAGCTCATTAGCAAATTAGGCCACACCCACATGTTACCAGAAGTGTGGTCATCCAGCCACACCCACCATTTGCTTGTTATTCTGTTTACCTTGTTTGTTGTCAAAACCCAGGGCCTTTTTTTGTAGCAGAAACTCCTTTGCATGTTAAACCACACACCCCTAATGTAGCCAGTCCTAATGAGTTTCTGCTGTTGGGTGTGGCCTGTTATCCTAATGAGTTCCTGCTGGGCGTGGCCAACTTGGGAGCCAGCCGGAACTCCGTTCCTGTGCGTTCCTGCCCAAAAATAGCCCTGGCCATGACCAAGTGGGCTCTGCCCTGCCAAGTGGGCCCTGCCACCTAGTCTCAGAAGGCAGGGGCACCCAAAGCAGGGTCTCTGAAGATGACTGTAGTATTTGGGTAGGTTCATAAAGGAGTAGGGTGCCCTTCAGTTTGGTGTAGTAGTTAAGAACGGCGGACTCTAATCTGGAGAACTGGGTTTGATTCCCCATTCCTTCACATGCAGACAGCTGGGTAACCTTGGGTCAGTCCAAGTTCTCTCAGAGCTGTTCTCTCAAGAGCAGTACTCTCAGAGCTCTCTCAGCCCCACCTACCTCACAGGGCAGGGTGTCTGTTGTGGAGAGAAGAAGGGAAGGAGATTGTAAGCTGCCCTGAGACTCCAAGTGAAGGGCAGGGTATAAATCCAATCTCCTCCTCCTCCTCCTCTTCTTCTTTTGCTTCTTCTTCTATGTTGATCAGCACCAACACCTTGAATTGCACTCAGAAATAGACTGGGAGCCAGTACAGATGGGCCAAGATTGGAGTAACGTGGTCCCTACAACCCACCCCATTCAGTAACCTGGCTGCAGCATTCTGCATCAACGGACATTTCCAAACACTTGTGAAGGGCAGTTCCACGTAGACAGCATTGCAGAATCTAATCTTGATGTGTCATCGAGGGTTATTCCTTTTTGCTACCTGTTACCTTTGAAACAAACCCCAACTAAGGAGGAGGCTGAACCTAGTACAAGTTTCCAAGTTGTCTATTGGGTCAGATGAAAAGCATTTGTAGTACATAATGGCTTGGATCCAGACTAGACTTTTCTGAAGGCACAAGGATTTTCATCTACAACAGTGTGATTTTCATGCCTTCTTCTTCCCAGCAGCCCCAAGGTTCTCCTCTCCTCCAGGAATGGGGGTGGTGGTGGTTTGGTCTGCCATAGAAGGTGGGAAAATCTCTTGGTGGGTGGAAGTTTTTGAGCCCACAGAATGGTTAGTGTGGATCCAACACAATATAAAATACACTCATGACAGTCCAATCTGCAGTCCCCAGCTAAGTATCCACTTGAAAAGCCATTCTTAGAAAAGCTGGATGCAGTAGATATGACTAATGTTTCTCCCCTCTTCAAAATTTCCAGTTCTTACAGTGCATAATTCAGTATTTCACAATGTGTGACCCAGCATTCCAAGTGACACAGCCCCCCCCCCGATTTATCAGTGCTGCATATATAACATCTACATCCACATTT